ACGTTTCTAGGGCACACCATTTCTGCAGATGGGGCGGCGGTCACGGAAGACAGAACAAGAGAAGTGAGGACTTGGCCAACACCTACAAATCAAACGCAACTTCGCAGCTCCCTTGGTTTGGCTAACTATTATCGGCGTTTTGTAAAAGGGTTCGTCAAGATCTCAAGTTCCCCATACAACTTGACCGAGAAAGAGGCAAAAAAGGAGTTTCGTTGGGAAAACGAACACACAGAAGCGTTTAAGGAGTTGAAACGTGCTCTCTGCGCGCCACCGATCTTGCCTTTACCAAACTTCAACGCCGAGGCCCCTCCTTTTGTGCTGGACACAGAAGTAGGCGATGAGGCGGTGGGCGGAGTCCTGTTCCAGAAAGGCAAGGACGAGAGAGAACATGTGATCGCGTGTGCCTGCTCACGTCTTAGCAAAAAGATGAAACAGAAGAGTGTAACGGAACGCGAACTTTTCGCTATTTATACTATGGTCAGACATTTTAGGCACTACTTGATAGGAAAGCAGTTCGTTGTGTGGACAGACCATCAAGCGTTGACATGGTTAGAGACGATGAATGAAATCGACCGCTCGGTTGCAAGGTGGTACGAGGAGCTGCGACAATATGATTTTATAGTGGAGTATGGGAAAGGAGGCTCTCATGGCAATGCGGACGCTCTGTCGCGGAGACCCTTACCACCATCCACGGATAGCGACACAGTAGATGCGCTGTTATTGAGCGCACTGAAGAACCCCGCAGAGCTCCGACCCCGATACAGCTTTAGTTTATGGAAGACTAAGGACATCCTCAGCCATGCCAACAGTTGAGGAGACGAGGTCGGCGAGCAAGAGAGCCGAGCAAATATGGCGGAAGTGGGAGAAACTCTCCTTAGAGGACGATGTCATGCGGTACAAAGACGATGCGGCAGGTTCTAAGCGCCTCGTAGTATCCGGTTCCTTGGTGCAGCCATCGCTGTTGGAATTGCATGAGCAACTTGGCCATCTGGAGTACAGGAAGATGGTCAACGCCGCAAGAGGTATTGGTGGTTTTCGCCGACATCGGACGTCTCTGATTTTTGCCGCGCATGCGTTACGTGTACCAACCTGAAGAACTCAAACCGCACGGCGGTAGTCCCTCTGCAGCCGATGCTCACGGACTTTCCAGGGGAGTGAGTAGGCATAGACAACATAGTTCCGCTTCCCACGACTCCGAGAGGGATTCGTTATATTTTGGTGATGGTAGACTATTTCGCCATACTCGCGGAAGCCGAGCCACTACAGGCGCAGGATGCTGAGACAGTAGCAACAGCACTTTTCAATCGCTGGATCTGCCAAAATGGCGTGCCTGATTCCGTACATAGCGACCAAGGGGCGAACTTCGAAAGTTGCCTCTTCAAAGAGCTGTGCAAAGCCATTGGAATCCGTAAGATGCGTACGACGCCGAGTCACCCTCAAGACAATGGACAAGTAGAGAGAACAAATCGTACTCTTGTCGATTTATTGAAGGCCTTCACCAAAGAGGTGCGGCCCGAGGATTGGATCTATACCTAGGAAGGGGCCCTCCTCGCCAACCGAGCCTCTTCTCACACCTCGACTGGAGTCTCACCAATCAAAATGCTCACAGGCCGTAAAATGAGATAGCCTTCCGACATTTTGCTCCCTCGTAAGAAACCGGCAGGGGATAATGCGCTCCAGTACGTCTTGCGACTAATGGAAAACCTAAGGAAAGTGTTTGACGCCGCGCGCAGACAGCTGAAGAAAGCATACGCTAAACAAAAGAGGTCCTACGATAGACAGAGTCGAACAAGCGTCCTTAAAGACGGCGATTTGGTGCAATTGTATAGACCAATTCCTCAGCCAGCAACCCATCGGAAATTCTATTACCCCTGGAGCAAAGAACCCTACGGGATAATCATTGTCCTGTCGCCCACGAATTATCTCATTCGTTATGCCTCTGGCAGTACATCATAACAAGACTAGGCCATATACGGGTCTGCCACCAGTAGGTTACGAAGACAAAGTCCATGCGTTATCAGAAAAAGGACAACCATCCGATGGAACTCAAGTGATCAGCACCGAGGACGGTGCTTGAAAGAGAAGGGAGTTGTGTAATGTATGCTAGTTTGTTTAAATGGACTTTTACAGGTGAGACGGGAACCAATTGGGAACACGAATCACGTGCCCGAAGCCGGCGAGGAGTCTCCCTCCAATTGATATCTCCTACTCGCCTAATCTGCAACCAGTTCTCTCTTAAATTCTGAGGTTCAAGGACCAGAGGGTAGACAGGCAGCTCTTACCATGAATATCAAAGTGGTCGTAAATCACACAAGTAGTCGAGGAAACAAAGTATTACATAGAGTTGCATCATCTGCAACAAAATTTGTAATGTTAACTAGCTGCTTGTGATTGGATGGAGGAATCTTTAGTTCCTTTGCGGCAGAAGGGTTGAGAACGACCATCGCGCCTCGCATATGCCTTATTCCCGAACTTCACAAGGCATTGACAACTAAAGTTGCGCAAATGTGAATTATCAGCAAAACGTCCATTCGTAAAGACCTGTCTACTGTAGGTGCTGCAGATGATCGGCATTGACATTATTCCAACTACCAATGCTTTCTATTAGGAAACTGTTTTTTTTTGGTCTTCTCCGAACCTGATTCGAGCACGAATGATGATGGACAGAAGTTCCAGTGTCCGTTGTAATGCTTTGTTTATGCGACTATTTGACAATTGGCGGTCACTTTAGGATTTGTCTGGTCCTTGTATTGGTTGGCTAACCTTCGGGTCATGTTCAGGTCCATTCGCTCTGTTCTCTTCCGAATACATGTATCCAGCCTCACTTACTGCTTTCTTCCACCCCATGGAAAGGCTCAGGACGGTACATTCATCGCCTTATTTTGGATCGAAGATGCATCCGTTGTGGTTGAAAATGCTGTTAGGACGAGTTTATTTTCTCAGTCGCATAATATTAGCGACTGGCGCTGATGGCTTGTAGTTTTGCTTGCAAAACCAAAGGCGTTGAGGTGGCTGACGTCTTAACCATTGCCAAAAAACGATGGGGACTATGTGACACTTTGGGTACTAGACTCTCTGTACGAATGGTAATTGCATCGAAGACCATTCTGCTTGAGTGGTTCTACCCTCGTTCCATGGCAGGGGCCAATTCAACCCTTTTTCTACGAATAAAAGTACCCTTGAGAGGCTCTGTGCTAGCAGCCTCA